GATATGATGAATATAGTATCCATATCTGCTTACCCATCTCAGATACGGATACGAAAATGGATATACCTCAGTAAGAAAAATTCATATTCATATGCGCTAAAATCGGATACAGTTACGGATATATATGCGGATACAACACGTATATGAGAAAACTAGATAGTATTGAGAAAAACACGGTTCATGTGATACAAAAGAGTTCGTTAATATGTTCATTGTAACTTAAGATTAGACATCTTGATCATTAAAATTAGCCATAAATCCATAATCTAAGAATCAAAACTATCGTAAGAGTATGACTAATATATATTATGATATTTAGGAAACGGATATAGATACTTCACTACAAAATCATATTCGTAACCATATCCTATTGGTTATAGATTTGAGTAACCATATTCGTATCCTAATAAATACGGTTATAGATATTTTCTCGGATATAAGGAAGGTAATGAGGTGGAAATTGGATTAGGTGATTAGTATTTGTGTTTTGTATTGTTTTAATTGATAATACCAATATATGATAGATCATTAAGTGAGCAAGTTTGTTTTTTTCCTTATTATCAAACATACTGGAAACCAAATTTTGTGTATCTTTGACATTTCTTTATTGACATTCTTTTTTATGATGAGCTTCAATATATGTACATCTATTTTTAAAGTTTTGCTTTTTAATTGTCATAATGTAAACTTTAATGTTGTCTCTATGAATATTTACAATATCACAGGATGATGGAGAATATAGAAAAGTATGCATATGGGGGTAACAGTACTAGATACTTTCAAGTCACTTCAACACTAGATCAACAATCGCAACATTACTCTCGTTCTCAAGGGGTACACGCTCTTGGAAACCCCTATGTTTTTTGTCGTCTTAGAGATTCGCCTAATCAACAATTCATGAATGCCAATATTGGTGGAACTCCTATTGGGTTCCCACCCATAAATTTGACCCAACAAATCATACGATCACAAAGCTCCCAGAATAATGCTTCACAAAATTCAATTTCAAGTCTTGAGGTTAATTCTCCTTCAAAAGATGGAAAACATACGAATGAAGGGAAGAAACGAAAGTCAACCGGGAACAAAGACACTCTGACAGGAGGGAAAAAATGTACTAGTAACAAAAAATGGAAACCTCCATATATTGAGGCATTAATTTCTTGCTTGGTGGAACTTGCTAATAATGGTTATAAAGTGTATAAGACATTTAAAGCCCCTGCTTTCAAAAAGGCCGTTGAGCATGTGAATTCTCTCTTTGGAGAAAATTATACTACATACAATGTCGAGAACCACTTACGAACCCTCAAAGATAAGTGGAAACTTATTTGTGAAGCAAAAAAACTTAGTGGAGCCGGATGGGATGAAGAGAGTAAGATGATTACACTTGATACCACGACATATGCTGAGCTTATCGAGGTATATTATTTTCTTAATCTTGTCCACCAAGTTAATTCAAAAATTTCTTTTTGATATATTACATTAAAAAGCTCTAATTTTCTTATAAACAGAGACATCCAAAATACAAGCCTTATTTGAATTGTCCAATTCCAAGATATGAAGAGCTTCGCATTATTTGTGGGGAGGATCATGCTACTGGAGAATTTAGAGAGACAAGTTATGACCCTGACATTGATAAAGAGATTCTAACTATCAATATCGATGAAGATGATCTTGTAGATAGTCCTGGTATTAATGGAGTTCGTGTATCACAATTCAACGGAGTGGACCCTCCGAGCATTTCTGTCAAGCCAGGAACTGTAAGTGGTAAATCGTCTCGTCCAGTAAAGAAGAAGAAAAGGGAGGACTCCCATATAATTATTGGTGAGAAACTTGTGGAGGAAATGGGAAAGGTAGCCACTGACATTGTTGGTTTGAAGGAGCAAACTTGGGTTGAGGTTCTTGCTGATAAGGTTTTTGGTTTTCAAGATATTTCCATAGATAATCTTGAACTGGTTTTCGATGAATATTACAAGAATGAAGATGAAGCGAAGGCTTTTATGGTATTATCCGAACCAATATAGAGAAAGAGGATTCTTAAAGTGTTGGAGAGGATAGGTAGGTGACCAATTTTGGACAACGCTCAGAGAGGAACTACTAGTTTCAGAAACATGGATAACACCCCTTAATAAATGGTTCTCATTTAAGCTATTTTTCTAGTATGAATAGTCTTCCTAAAATTTGCACTTTATTATTTTATTTTAAACTTAATGATACTGGTTTATTGTCAATTATGCATGTTGGACTTTGATATGAATTGAGCTTACAATAAGACTACGATTCTTATTTATTTTAGTTAATTTTTAATAGCACTTTCTTTTTGTCAGCTCAATATATTTTTTGTGGATGTTTTTTTTCTTTTTTCTTTTTGGTGCCTAATTGTTGGTTTATCAAAGTCATTTCTGTAGCATGGATTCAAAGTCAAATAAATGCTCTAGGCAAATTGGATAAGTATTGGATGTGGAGGCAAATTTGTGAAGGCTATAGATATGTTGCTCTTTTGATCAGTAATAATACATAATCAGTTATTGGGCTACACCAAGCGTGATTTCAGTATACTGTGATGATTTGTTGTTGATCTTATAGTCGGTCATTGCTCACTGTCAAAAATCCTTTGGGGATGATTAACTTTCCGAGAAATTACTTTGTGTTCTCTTTGAAGTTATAGTCGTTCTGATGGCTTTCATTTATTAAATGGCTTTCTTTTTTTAATAAATTCAACAGATATTTAATGTGCTTGTTGCAATTATGCTGCACGTCTCATTATCCTCGTACTGTGTTATTTATCTGATGATTTACTTTCACTCATTTTCTTGTTATTGCACGAAATAGCATGCATAAGAAACTGAAACCCTCGTACTTGACCAGTTCCATAGTTTATTATGTTTCTTTCTTGTTTGCTGCGGATGCTCCCTTGTTATCCTCAGTGTTTCGTGTCATACCTCTTGATCCAAAAATGGTAAGATTACCTTTATTATATATCAAGCAAATCAACTATGAATTTTGGTCTCTTCAATTGATGGCAACAACAGTTCTATTTCCATTTCAATGACAATCCAAACAAGAATAAAATGGAAGCAACAGTATTAATTACTTCCAAGTAATATTTCAAATATTATCCAAACAAAAAATAAATAAATGAAGAGGAAGAAGTTCTACTTCCATTACTTCTAAAAATATATAAAACAAACAAAAAAAATGCTATTTCCATTACTTCCTACTTCATAGTTTTGAAAGTTACTTCCGTAATCTACTTCTTACTTCTAATACTTCCATTATCCAAACGGGTCCTTAGGTTCTAGCCATCCCCAATCCCCATCCAGAAAACGCTTTAGTCTGGAAAAGAATCATGTACGGTTTCTACTGTGAAAATCATGTAGGGTAGAAGAAAAGGTTATATGTGTTTTTATGTTTTTATGTTTTTATTTTATTTTCATTTTATTTTTTAAGGAATACATGCTTCTTTTAATTTATAGTTGATGATCATGCTGATTATTATTTTGCTGGCCAAGTCATGAGTGCACATCTTTTCACGGTCAAGTTGAACTTTGTCAAAATCTCTATGTTCAAGATCATATATCTCTACGTTCCAGCACATCTCATTCATCTTTTTGGAAAGCTGTATTATCTCATAAAGATGCTTTTATGCATAACATAAGATGGCATTTAGGAACTAGAGAGAGAATAAGATTCTGGGAAGATAAGTGGCTTGATTCCAACAGTTTAGCAAATCTATTTCCACAATCATACAAGTTGGCTCTTTCTTCTAATGCTTCCGTCAAAAGTTAAGGTTTTTTCAACCATCAATTCTGGAATTGGCATTTATTGATGAGAAGAAGTATCCTCCCTTGTGAGAAAACAAAGAAAATTGATCTTTTGAATCTTATTAAAGATTCACAACCTTCAAATAACCTTGATCATGCAGAATGGTCTCTAACTACAAATAAACAGTTCTCTGTCAACTCTCTTTATAATTTTCTTAATGAGAGAGGTGTCTCAAGTCCTATCTACAAAGTTATCTGGAATCCCCTTGTTCTATCAAAAGTTCGTATCTTCCTTTGGTTACTTACTAAAAACAAACTGCACACAAAGGAGGTTCTTCTTTCCAAAGGTTGGCAAGGTGACACTACCTGTTCATTCTGCGAATTAGAACTGGAATCAACAGAGCACTTGTTCTTCTCATGTCCAGTAACAAAAGTAGTATGGCAGCACTTCATAAACTACAATCTTCCATTCACTTGGCCGACAAATTGGGCTGACCTTTTGCTTACCTTAGAATCAGTTCATGGGTTGAAAGGATATATGTGGCGCAGTATATTTGCATCGGTTTGCTGGAGTATATGGAGATCAAGAAATAATTCTATTTTTGATTAAAAACAGTTTTCTATCAAGTCCATTATTAACTATGCAATATCGTCATTATATGATTGGATAGGTACTCAAAGTGGATCTGCAGCACATAAGATACAAGCTAAGTTGGAGGAAGACCCAATCCGTAGATGCGTTTGACTTATCTAAAAGAGACAGGAGGAAAATTTTGTTTTTATGTATAGAAAATACTTTTGTTTTCTTTAGTTTTTTGTTGATTGGGCTATAGAAATATTAGTTTCTTGATGCTATATATATGGCTGGCTTTGGTTCTTTCTTATATCTGTGTCAACGGTGAATAACGGCAAGGCCCTCTCTTCACCTTCATGGATGTTTGAAAGAAGAAAGTCATATATCTCTAGTGTTAAGAAACTAGTATTTCTATCTTCCAATTCTTGGATACAATTCGTATCATGTTTTTTGTAAAACTTGTCTCTTAATACAAATGACAGGGTATATCCCTTCTTTTTGCTCAAAAAAAGTTGAACTTCTTCATTCTCTATTGTATTCATAGAGAAGACTATATAAGTTTAGTTTCACACTTATTCTTTTCACCCACTCAAATGGTAACTTATTGAATTAGTTCCAACTTAAACTTCACAAATCCCCTGCTAGGTTTGGAGGGCTTTTCAGATAGCCCTAAATTTTAAAAATATCATTAAACCCCCTTGCTTTAGACAAAAAACCATATGTTTTCTTCTTTTTCTCCGCCTAACCCCCTAGTGGTGTTTATATAAACTTGTAAATGACAAAAGATATCATTTTCAAATTAACACTTAAATTATTAAAATTAAATTAAATTAAATTAATTGGAAGCTTGGCTGGCAGGGGTAATCTCAAACATCGGATCACACTTAAGGAAGTTTTAAAACTATTACCGCATGTAATTGTCGCGTGGTGTTAGGGGGTGTTTGTTTAGGTGTAAGTGAAAATTGTAAGTACGAAAGTCACTTATTTTTTAGATTTAACTTGTTTGTTTTATTAAAAGTCATTATGAAAGTGATATAAAAAAAGTATCCACGTAGGATTTTTTTTTGCAAGTTCAACTTCCCCTATAAAACCGCAGAAGTGAGCCGCAAGAGAAAAAAATGAGGCCCACGTCACATTAAAAAAATTATAATAACACATATATTAATTGCTTTCGTCTTCAACAACCTTATCCTCTTCTATTTTCGCTCGCGCCTCGCCTCTTCCCCGTGAAATTTTACCCCATTTTTTACCTCTTTAGAAATAATCCCACCAATTTTCCCCGCGTTTTTTTTCCAAAAAAAATTTCCCTCCATATAATTGATCCAACTATATTTGTGTTGATTTCTAGTATAAAATCTACATTTTTTGTGAGATCAAGCTAAAAAATTAAGCGGTGCGGTGAAGTTGAGGATTTTTGCCTGAGATCCTTAAGAGAGGTAAGAATTTTCTCTTGATCAATGTGTTGGAGATCGTTCTCCTCTTTGATTTCTCACTCTTTCTCCGCTTGCAGATCAGATTCATCATCGTCAAAACTGCAGGTTAGGGTTTCACTCTTTCTTTGTTGCGTTTGTTAATTAGTATGTCGTTGTTTCTCCCTTGAATTTGTAGATTATTGTTGCATCGGTCATTTAGGAGTTTAGATTGATGAATTTGGGTTTGTGATCTCTGGGATTTGTTCTACTACTATTGTTTACTGATTTCTAGGGTTTGGCAAGGGATTCAGATCAATAAGATACTCGTGAAAACTTATATTCTTAATTTTGTCTCTAATCATTACTATCGATTAATTAAGCCAAGGCAGCAGCGTTTGTAAATAGAGGTCTTTTGCACCGTCATGTTTTTTATTTTAGCTAAACCGAAGCCGCCCGCGCCCCGCCAAACAGTCTGTGAAATAAATTACACCGCGACCTGTTTTTGGGCAGTATGTTACCATGTCTAACCCGCTGATATGACAGTCAAGTCCCGCGGCACACCGAAGAAAGACCAAGAGCACTTTGCTCTCCAACAGATGGTGCTTGTATCATTATAATATGATCACGACTTTCTTTCCATAGTGAAATCCAATCCAATTGTGAGTTTGGATCTTTATGTTTGCAATGGATTAGATTTATGTTTACAATGGATTAGAAGTTACTTGAACTAAAGTGTTGATGTACAGTAATGATTTCGTAATCGATTTTGTGCTAAAAGGTTTCTTTTCTTTTTTTCTTTTTTTCTTTTTTTTTTGATCTCACATGCGAAAAGGGGAAAAAGTCTACTACATTAAAGAAGATATAAAGATCATCGAGCCACATGTTACTTCGTAAATTCGTTCACCTTGGTTTTCTTCAAAATAGCTGTAATAGTCAGATAGTATCCGATCTATCAATTTGTCATGAACTCATGGTCTAGAAAAAAATATTGACATCTTTTTCTCTGACGTTCTACTCTTTTTTACGAGATAAAATCTGATGGTATGCTTTGTTTTACTGGATAAGTGCAATGAATAATATGTATATCGAAACGATAACTTTTTCTATGATTAATCTTCAAATTTGATAAAGTAAAGAAAACTAGTGTGTGCTACCAATTTACAATGACATATTACGATGCAAATTCATGAATCTTCAAATTTGAACTAATTACTTACATTATAACAGTTATGTTATTCTTATTTTCAACTTATGTATAAATTATATTCTTATTTTCTGTTTGCTTAATTGATATAGATGGATCGCAAAACTCAACATCGTCTTTTGTTACAACGGGCAGTAGCAGCTTATGCATGAGAAACTTGTGTAGTAGCATACTATATTTTTTTTCATATTAGATTGTAAGGACCACATTTGTCGAGAACCCTCTATGTACAGAGATCTACTTAGGAAAGTGCATATGCATAGAATATTTTATGGCGGGAATACAACATGCATATATTACCTTAGAATGGCTCCTGTTCCTTTCTTTAGACTAGCAAGTATGTTGAGAGATAAAGGATTATTAAAAGACACTATAAATGTATCCATTGAGGAACAGCTAGCAATGTTTCTTCACATAGTCGGACATAATGTAAAGAATAGGGTAATGAAGATTGAGTTCTACGATCAGGGGAGCCAATTAGTCAATATGTCAATTTTGTATTGCACGCTATTTGTGGTGTGAGAGATTTATTTGTACGACAACCTGGTTATGAAACGCCAGAAGAGATCACTTCCTCCTCAACTTGGTTCCCATGGTTCAAGGTAAATTCTATTCTATGAAATATGAGAAGTAAATATAAAATAACTTTATACGTTGAAATTGATACATTAACAAAATATATTGAATCTAAATAGGATTGCATTGGTCTCATTGATGGTACCCATATCGAAGTTAGTGTTCCAGAGGAAATTGCTATTCAATTTATAGGAAGAAATGGTGGGACTACCCAAAATGTTCTTGCAGCATGCTTGCCTAATAAGCAATTTACTTATGTTTTGGCCTGTTGGGAGGGATCTACGACGGATTTCACTGTGCGTTGTCTTTAGAACCACCAATGGGTCTAAAAGTGCTACCATGTATATAAAGAACATAGTCAAATATTTTAAAATAAAATATTATATCACTAATGATATATTTTATTGAAATGTAGGCAAGTATTATCTTGTTGATGCAGGCTATACAACAATGCTGGGGTTTATTGCTCCTTATCATGCAGTGCGATATCATTTGAGAGAACAACATAGCAGAACACCCAAAAATTCTAAAGAACTTTTTAATTTGAGGCATTCAAGTCTTCGAACAAAAATTGAGGCTGCTTTTGGGATATTGAAAAATAGGTTCAAAATCTTATGCAGTCGTCTATTCTTTCCTCTTGAGACTCAAATTGATATAGTTCTCGCATGTTGTGTTTTGCATAATTATATCGTACATAATGATGATGATGACTATTTTGCAAATTTAGCATATGAGAATGAAGCTAGTGAAGAAGCGCTCTATAGTGAAACTCAATCCTATGCAACCAATCTCACTCAACGTGAGCAACGAGATCAGAATAGAATGTGGAATGAGAAGAGAGAAAATATAGCTCAAGCAATGTGGCATAATTATTACCAAACTTATCAAACTGGAAACATGGAGGAGGGATAACTTACTACAAAAGAAGTAGTTTTTATTTTTGTTTATTCAATTGTCTGTAGTGCTTTTAGTGATATATTTTGAGCCGTTGCTTCAAGAATGTTATTTTCTTTTATTTTTGTCTTTAGAACAATGTAGGAATTTGGTATAAATATGTGATTATTTATCTTTTTGAGTTTAGTTAAATTAGATCAACATAATTTTTTATCTTTTCATGTTATATGATCAATAGTTTCATATGTAAAATTTATAATTATGTTCACTTGCTTAGGACATGGTTGGGGCTCCATATAAAAACTAATACCAATTGGAGTTAAGTCAAGATTCTACTGATTCTAGTCAAGGGATACCTGCATCTCTAAGTCAAATTGGAAGTCAAGCAAGTCCTTTTACATATATTCTCGGAGGAATCGGAGATTCCACATATCAAAATGCTTTGTATCATGCAATGTTTGTTGGTTCTCAAGAGATGATGAAACCACAATATAAGGAGCCAAATCATATTGAAGATGAAGAGGAAGGTAATGCTATCCCCGATGAACCTATTTCTAAGAAATACAAAAAGAGTAAAAATAAAACAAAAGAAGAAGGAGGTATGAAGGGCTGTGGAACTCCGAACAAACGCTGGAGCAAAGAGGAAAGTGGTTTTCTCTTGGAATTTCTCGCTGAACAAGCTACTAATGGAAACAAAAGGTAAAAAACATTCAAAAAGCCTGTTTTAATTGATACTGTTGCTGCTGTAAATAAAAAATTTAATTAAAGTTTTACACTGTTGAATCTAGAGAATCATCTTCGTAGCCTCAAAGCTAAGTGGAAGGATATTTGTCACTGTAGAGACAAAATAAGAGGCGCTGGTTGGGATGAGGATAAAAATTGATAATCCTCGACGATCTCACTGTTAGACCCCTAAGGTCGCTATGAAAGAACCCTAGAGGGGGGTGAATAGGGTTTATGCTAATCTAATCCGATTTAATGCTAATTAAAACTTACTAACAAATATCCTAGCAAATATGATATGTAATAAGATATATATGCAAGGATAAGTAAACTAAGCAAGGGCAAACAGTATAGTGGAAGAAATAAATAAGATGCAATATGCGATATAAGATGAACACAAAATTAAGTGCGCCAATGCAATCACAAATAAACGATATGTTCACGAGGTTCGGTCCCCATGACCTACGTCCCTGCTCCTCACCTCGAGGAGATCTCCACTATCACGACACAGCCGGTTTGGAAGCCGAAACTTCTCTACACACTCGGTTATCAAGTCAACTGACAACTCTCACAAAATCTCACAATGTACATACACAAGCTACAACCTCAAGTGTTGGTCCTCACGTATGGACTCCATCAAGTGCTCGGAATTATCACCTCTCACTAGGCCACTGATGCCACTCCTCTCGGATCGACTCCGTCCTCACCACACACTCCTCTTGGTGTACAAGTGTATTACAAGTGATCTCACGATAAGCACACAAATGTAAATTTATTCTCTACAATAGATGAGAACATAATGTAGGCTCACACTCAATGTCACACAAACCCCACAACCCAAATTATACAATGTATGCAAATACAATAAGCTCAATGGTTGTGTGTGTAAACAAAGAGTAAACAAAATTAACTAAACTCAATATAAACACTAGCTTAATAAATTGGTAATTAAACAATATAAATGTAAAGCTAGATTGAGTTTAGGAAAACTTCTCTATAGATAATAAGAGAGGGAGAAGAGTGAATGCTCAAACACCAAGGATGATCTCCACTTGCTCTTGTAAAATTCTCTTCACAAACAAAACTCTTAAACGCTTAAAAGCTTATTAAACAAACACTAAACAAAACTTAAACCCTTGTTAAAACTTTAATAAAACATTCTCTTGGATCATTTTAGAAGTATGAGGGCATGAGGTATTTATAGGCTCATGAAACAACCCCAAAAACCAAGAGAAAACAAGTAAAAAAACAAAAACCATCAAATCTGGAAAACTAGCCGTTATAGGCTGAAAATATCTGTTAAGTCGACTTATAAGTCGACTTATAGAGAGCTGTTGGAACGGTAACGGCAGTTTTGGAATTTTGCGTATCTAGTTTTGTAAAATCAATCAAAAATAGTAAATCAACTCTAAAAATTATGACATTTTGAGGGATGTTTCTAAACACGTATATAAACGAGTTACAAAAAGAATTTCTGAAATATAACTTCGAATTTATGAGAAATAAATATTTGAACACAGATATTTTAGATTCTAAAACTGCTGAAACACGCGATTTTGTAAAATCAATTTGACATAGTAAATAAACTCCAAAAATCATGAAATTTTTAGGGAAGCTTCTAAACATATGGATGAACATGTTAGAGAAATAATTTCTTAATTATAACTTCCCATTTGGGAGAAATAATTTATTTTGTAAACTGGTCAAAAATACATAACTGTGCAACACTTCATAAGTCGACTTATAAATGTTATAAGTCGACTTGCTTTGCTTGATATTCGACTTAGCAGAGGCAAAATGCACTTACTAGAGGAGTTCATAAGTCGACTTAACAGAGTTTATAAGTCGACTTAAAAACATGCACAGTCACTGTTCATGCTGAAAATCTGATTTTAAAATAGCAAATAAATTCCAAAAAACAATAGAATATGAAACATATAAAAGTGTATATGAAGATATATATTATTTCATATCTAAATAGCTAAACCAAAAACATATATGTATATATATAACTATATATATATATATAAAACCAAAACGTGTATGTGTGTATAGAATTGAGCTTAAAGTACTAACACACATAATATAAACTCATAAACTAAATATACCCAAGCTTGATCTTGATCTTCAATATGCTCTTCTTGGTACACTTGCGGATGAAGCTTGATCTTGAATCTTTAACTTGAATTGCATTTGCTTCACTCCACTATTCCGCCAACCTCCATTGGATATGATCGTAAATGTGCAATTCCATCCATCCTCCAACATGTTGTTTGTCTATAATAAATAAATAAACACAAATACTAGACAAACAATGTTAGAAGTAAAGTGTTTGTTAATCATCATCAAAACAAGAAGGCCAACAATCTCCCCCTTTTTGATGATGACAAACAATTTACAAAAAGAGATATATGCATGATAGGAAATTAATATGTAAATTAGAATTATCATGCATATAACCAAAACAAGATATACTCATAATATTTCTCCCCCTTTGACAACATCAAAAAGGGGATAAAAGATGAAAAGAGCGAAAGCTCCCCCTATTAATATGTATGGGTGAGTATAAAAATATATATATAGGGATTGCTCCCCCTATCAAAATGCCATATGGAGTGTATGCAATAAAGATCATGGCAAACATGTGAGCAAACATAAATATAAAAATATGCTAAACACAACTCACATGCAAAAGAATAATAAGAACACATGTGTATATATAACATCATGAAGGGTGTTACAAAGATTTTAAGATGAATATATACAAACCAAACATTTATCATTCTTGCCCCAAAGAGATAAAATGAGAATCCAAAAAGACATCGTTTGAAAAAAAAATGTTTATGAAGGAGGATTTATGAAGGAAAATAATTTGCTTATAGGTAGGGGGATCAAGAAAATAAATCATAAGTTTTCTTTGCTTAGAGATACAATGTATGGATTTATAAAATCAAAAGAAGGGAAAACATGAGGATCATGAAAAAAGTTTTCAAATGAAAACGAATCAACCAAATGAAATCATAAATCAACAATTTAAACCAAAAATGATGTTTGATCAATAAAGGAAGTTTTCTTTGTAGAACTTGATCAAACCACATATAGAATACATTATAAGGCACGAATAGATGATCCACGAACACAAACATATAAATATCATCATATAAGTGAAATATAATGAACTCAAAGCAACAAATCAAAACAAAATCTTTGACAAAAGAATTTCAAGAGAGGCAACAATATATCAAGCTCTTAAGCTTGTTCCAACCCATATAATCATTCTAGCATCCGGTAAACATGATTTGGGAATAAACACCCAATAAACCCCGAGGGGGGAGGGAGGGGGGGGGGTTTTACATAAATATAAACCTCTCATCAAAACAAAACCAATAATCGTGAAAACAAAAGAATTAATCAAAGAAAAAAATTATTTTTATATTCAAAGTTTTTAAAACACATTTTTCAAAACCAAGAAAAGGAAAAAGAAAAACACTAAAATTCTTGGTTTAAAATTAAATTTGTTTTGGTACCCAAGAATTTTTGGTACCAAGAGATTTAGGGACATGACCCCTATCAATAAAGCTCAAAGCCCTAGGGGTATGAACCCTCTTAGGCACATTTGGTGCACTAACCCGGTCATAACAATAATTGCTCAAATGACCCTTCCGATTGTAATTTGTGCAATGAAAGAGACTCATTTGTTTTTGTGGACCATATGCTCGTGCGCGGGAACCATTTGCAAACAAAGATTGTCTTTTAAAATTATTTTGCAAATGAGAAACATTATCAAACAAAGGTGGTTTACTTGGAAAATTTGGCAAGTTTGAATATTTTTTCAAATCATAACAAAACTTCGCCAAACGGCCAAATCTACCACAAATATCACATTTAAAAATATGTGGTCTACTAGAGACATTTGGCAAATGTGATTTTCTTTTCAAATCAAAACAATATTCGGCCAAATGACCAAAACAACCATAAAGATCACACTTGAACACACTAGCATGCTTATGATGAACTTTGTGAGAATGAGCATGTGAATGTATAAGTGTACAAGATGAAGAAGCTACATGAGATGCACAAGGAGCATTAGCATTCTTATGTTTGTGTGCATCATAGAAAAATCTATCAAAATGGCCTTTACGACCGCAATTTGTGTATTTGTAGACTTTGCTATACATGTGTGCATGATGAATAGGATGTTTAGATGTTTTAGCATGAGACTTAGCACACATGTTCATAAGCTTATCATGATTAACAATACATGTTTTAAGGGTTGAATCTAAAGATGATATGCGATCCTTAACATGATTCAACTCATCATTATGCATACAAGTATTGTTATTAGAAGTAGAACATATATAGTTATTTATAAAAGAAGCAGTATCATTTTGTATGTTCTCTACTTCTAACATGGTATTATTTTTAACATGAGATAAGCTAGTGATGGATGAGGTTAATTTATCATTTTCCAAATTTAACATATCATTGTTTTCTTTAAGCATAATATTTTCTTTTGCAATGACATCAAATTTGGAACCTAGCAACTCATGATCAGATTTCAAATTAACATGCTTGCTTTTTAAATCTATAAAATTATTATGCAACTTAGTGTAGGCATGCATTAATCTATCATATGCACAAGCGAGTTCATTAATGGATATATCACTATCGAATTCCGAATCGCTTACTACACTAGGGCTATCGTCTAGTGGTCGTGTGCACGATGAAGATGAAGCTCCACATGAATTAGAAGCGGAATCCTCCAAAGCTTGTCGGATTGCCTCCAAATTCCCTTGATGTACTTCTATAAGTTTCCACAATGTGTAAGCACTATCAAAAGAATCAAGCTTGTTAGAAAAGGATAAGCCAAAAGCATCAATTAGAAATTCTAACAAAAGCTTGTTCATAGTAAACATCTTTTTATCATGATTACTCCACTTGGATTTCTCCAATGTGGGCACAATATAAGTATCCTCAATAACTTCCCATAAATCAATATTTTTAGATCTAACAAATAGTTTAAATCTAACACACTATTAGTCATAGGGAAAATTATTAATTCTAGGAGCAACATTAATGACATAACCAAGACTAGGTGCACTGTGCATGTTCATGATATAAATTACATGCAAGGAAGATACAAATAATCTCAAAATAAGATTAGCACAAAAAGATAACTTAGATCTTTAACTCAAGGCGATTAGACCTTAAATCAAAGAGCGCCAAGCTCTGATACCAATTGTTAGACCCTAAGGTCGCTATGAAAGAACCCTAGAGGGGGTGAATAGGGTTTATGCTAATCTAATATGATTTAATGCCAATTAAAACTTATTAACAAATATCCTAGCAAATATGATATGTAATAAGATATATATGCAAGGATAAGTAAACTAAGCAAGGGCAAACAGTATAGTGGGAGAAATAAACAAGATGCAATATGCGATATAAGATGAACACAAAATTAAGTGCGTCAATGCAATTACAAACAAACGATATGTTCACGAGGTTCGGTCCCCACGACCTACGTCCCCGCTCCTCACCTCGAGGAGATCTCCACTATCACGACACACCCGGTTTGGAAGCCGAAACTTCTCTACACACTCGGTTATCAAGTCAACCGACAATTCTCACAAAATCTCACAATGTACATACACAAGCTACAACCTTAAGTGTTGGTCCTCACGTATGGACTCCCTCAAGTGCTCGGAATTATCACCTCTCACTAGGCCACCGACGCCACTCCTCTCGGATCGACTTCGTCCTCACCACACACTCCTCTTGGTGTACAAGTGTATTACAAGTGATCTCATGATAAGCACATAAATATAAATTTGTTCTCTATAATAGATGAGAACACAATGTAGGCTCACACTCAATGTCACACAAACCCCACAACCCAAATTATACAATGTATGAAAATACAATAAGCTCAATGGTTGTGTGTGTAAACAAAGAGTAAACAAAATCAACTAAACTCAATATAAACACTAGCTTAATAAAATGGTAATTAAACAATATAAATATAAAGCTAGATTGAGTTTAGGAAAACTTCTCTATAGATAACAAGAGAGAGGGAGAAGAGTGAATGCTCAAACACCAAGGATGATCTCCACTTGCTCTTGTAAAATTCTCTTCACAAACAAAACTCTTAAACGCTTAAAAGCTTTTTAAACAAACACTAAACAAAACTTAAACCCTTGTTAAAACTTTATTAAAACATTCTCTTAGATCATTTTAGAAGTATGAGGGCATGAGGTATTTATAGGCTCATGAAACAACCCCAAAAACCAAGTGAAAATAAGTAAAAAGACAAAAACCATCAAATCTGGAAAACTAGCTGTTATAGGCTAAAAATCTTTGTTAAGTCGACTTATAAGTCGACTTATAGAGAGCCGTTGGAACGGTAACGGCAGTTTTGGAATTTTGCGTATCTAGTTTTGTAAAATCAATCAAAATTAGTAAATCAACTCTAAAAATTATGAAATTTTGAGAGATGTTTCTAAACACGTATATAAACGAGTTACAAAAATACTTTCTGAAATATCTCTCCTCATTTGTGAGAAATAAATATTTGAACACAGATATTTTAGATTCTAAAACTGCTGAAACACGCGATTTTGTAAAATCAATTTGACACAATAAATAAACTCCAAAAATCATAAAATTTTTAGGGAAGCTTCTAAACATATGGATGAACATGTTAGAGAAATAATTTCTTAATTATAACTTCCCATTTGAGAGAAATAATTTATTTTGTAAACTGGTCAAAAATACATAACTGTGCAACACTTCAAAGTCGACTTATAAATGGTATAAGTCGACTTGCTATAAGTCGACTTGCTTTGCTTGATAAGTCGACTTAGCAGAGGCAAAATACACTTACTAGAGGAGTTCATAAGTTGAGTTAACAGAGTTTATAAGTCGACTTAAAAACGTGCACAAGCACTGTTCATGCTGAAAATCTGATTTTAAAATAGTAAATAAATTCCAAAAAATAATAGAATATGAAACATATAAAAGTGTATATGAAGATATATATTATTTCATATCTAAATAGCTAAACCAAAAACATATATGTATATATATAACTATATATATACAAAACCAAAACGTGTATGTGTGTATAGAATTGAGCTTAAAGTACTAACACACATAATATAAACTCATAAACTAAATATACCCAAGCTTGATCTTGATATTCAATATGCTCTTCTTGGTACACTTGCGGATGAAGCTTGATCTTGAATCTTTAACTTGAATTACATTTGCTTCACTCCACTATTCCGCCAACCTCCATTGGATATGATCGTAAATGCGCAATTCCATCCATCCTCCAACATGTTTTTTGTCTATAATAAATAAATAAACATAAATACTAAACAAACAACATTAGAAGTAAATTGTTTGTTAATCATCATCAAAACAAGAAGGCCAACACTCACTTATAAAACTTATGTGTTGGTATGTTGTCTAACCTCAATCCAAAGCTTATTTTTTTCTACTGTTAATATATAAGATAACTTTTGCCAGGTTTGCATAGTTTTATCTGTCACATGCTTTTTCCTACTTATTCTTTCCTAATGTTAACATATGAGATAACTTTTGTCAGGTTTGCATTGTTTTATTTGTCACATGCTTTTTCCTACTGTTATTTTTTCCCACTGTTAGCATATGAGATAACATATGATATCTATCTTAGACCGAAATCTGATATCTTAATGTTAGCCTTCTGAATTATTTTATGCTTGTTAGGCTTGTGAAGTACCTTCAAGTCCTTGTGATAAACCCCTCTGCTGCGACAATAACTAATAGCATCAATTAGTTGTTGAAAAATTCTTCGACCTTCACGTTCTGGAAGTTTTCATTTTATAAGCACTTAGCTTTAACTTGTTGGAGATCATCACATGCTTCTCAATTAAGTTTGAAGTATTTAACTGCTGCATATTAGGATGTAAGTAGCTCATTTAGTAATGGTCTGGTTTTCTGTTCTTATAGTTGAGGTAACTGACAAAATTCCCATGAGTAATGTTATATACAAGTGTATTTCTTTTAATATGGTTGATAAATATGTTGTATTAAGGTGCTTGTAAGTTTCTTTTCAATATTAAACTTTCTCATAAATATAATATCTAAATTTATTTGTCATATTGCTTTCAGGCTCATGAAACAAGAAGGGCATATCTCAATTATCCTATTCTATTTTATGAGGAGATGAAGATTGTATGTGGGGAGGCTTTTGCCACTGGATCATTTAGAAAGAATATATATGATTCATTTGGAGACCATGGCGGATCCAGTAACAATGACATTAACGGTGGATTTCTGATAACAATGACTGATGATGGTGATGTCACTGATGGTGCTAATGAAAAGTAGAATGTCAATAAATGGTAGAACTCCTCAAAAAAATTGTAAGAAGACTAAGCATCCAAAGGAGAAGAAATCAAATGATTCAAGAAATGATGTCCAAGAACTAAAGGAAGGTCTTACTTTCATTGCCAAAGCAATTGAAAACGCTACGCCTGATTATTGGAGGCTTAAACTTAATAAGGTCATCATGGCTATTGAAAGGTACAACGAGGATGATTTGGATGCCATTTTTTAGCATTATGCAGATAGTGAGCATAAAGCGTTAACATTCATTGCAAAGCCTCCTACAAGATAAAAGAAGATTGTAAATGAATATATCAAAAACATGAAGGGCTTTAGCAAAATATGAGTTAGTATGTTTCCTATAGTAGTACAATGAGTTAGTATGTTTCTTACAGTAGTACTAGTTTGTTTGAAAGTAACCTGTAGTTTAGCTAGTAGTACAATGAGTTAGTATGTTTCTTACAGTAGTACTAGTTTGTTTGAAAGTAACCTGTAGTTTAGCTTGTGGAATTACTTTAGAGTTGATCACTTACAGTAGTACTAGTTTGTTTGAAAGTAACCTGTAGTTTAGCTTGTGGAATTACTTTAGAGTTGATCACTATTTACTTCAATTTAAAACTCTTTTCTATTTATTTGGGGTTTGATAAGTAGTATTAGTTGGTTTGGGAACTTTATTATCCTATGAATGAAATTGTAGTTTTTATTTTGAATACTATTCTCATCATCTTTGGTTGCAGCTATGGTTTGAAATATATCAATGGCTTTGTTGTTTTCATTGAAGATAAGTAATTGGGTTATTTACATTTTGTACCTTGGATGTTCTTTGGTTGCAGCAAGTATTATCTTTGTGATCCTCGTTCCCATTTGCTAACATTAAAAAAGGATCATTACGCTAATATTTATTAATGATTTTTCTGCTAAAATTTTATCAGTGAGATTATTATACTAGAACTATTCATGATGATTGTATAGTTTTGGGTATATATGTTTTAGGATTTATTTATTTTGTTAAATTACTGTTTATGACAACATGATGTCGGTCCTGGATATGGTACAAAAATAAATAGAGATGGGAAGCAATTTATATAAAAACATGATTTTTAATATATAATTAAATTAAAATAATGTTGTCACATCATCCTCACTTTTCTACTTTCAACGATAACTAATTTTTGTAAACAAACAATGTATGCCAATTGTATGCTGACTTGGATGCGTTAACCCACTTCAAAAAAAAGTCACTTTCATACTTTCAACTCACTTACAACTAAACAAACACTCCCTTAGTTACAGAAAATAGGGGTTACATGGTGGTGTTTCTAAAAGTTAGGGGGTTCTATAGAAAAACGGCAAACTTCTCCGGGTTTGCTGAAATTCAGCATTCCATCTCTGCCTCTACTCTGTTTGGGTCCCAGTAGCCCAGGTCCCACATCCACCTCCTCAAGACAAAAAAATGCATGCCAGCCAATTTCCAGCCCAGAGCGAGCGGCCCGCCTCAAGACAAAAAAATGCATGCCAGCCAATTTCCAGCCCAGAGCGAGCGGCCCGCATCCAATACTCCTAGCCCACACCCAAACGCGTTCAGTTGACTTGACTCTCTCTCTCTGTGTGACCACGTCGCTTGCCGCTCTGTATCCCACGGAGATTGCTTCACCTCTCCCAAGCTCCAACCAAATCCAATTCCATGGCGACTCCACGAAACCCTAGCAATCTCCTCCTCCTCCTCCTCCTCCTCCTCCTCAGTCTCTCCCTCTCCTCAGCTCTTTTCTCCCCGATCGACAACCACTTAATCGACTGCGGATCCGGGTCCTCACCCGCAACCCACCTCTGACTCCGAACCCGCCGCCTCCTCCTCCCGCCTCCTCTCTTCGGGCCCCAAGATCTCCGTCTCCGACCCAAACCCTAACCCTAATCTCCCCTCTCTCTACCGCACCGCTCGAGTCTTCACCAAGCCCTCGGCCTACGAGTTCCAGATCAGATCCAAAGGGACTCACCTCCTCAGGCTCCATTTCTACCCGTTCTCCGCTCAAAGATACAACCTTTCCTCCGCCCAATTCCACGTCACCGCTTCCGGCTTTGTCCTCTTGAAGGATTTCAGCTTCGGAACCCGTGGAGATTCTGCTGCTTTGCCCCAGTTGAAGGAGTATCTCGTCAATTTGGACTCCGGTAAGTTCGTACTCGCTTTCGTCCCTGCTGACTGCTCCTCCTTCGCCTTCGTCAACGCGATTGAAGTAGTTTCGGCACCGGAGGGTCTCGTTGCTGATGCGGCAAGGCTAGTGAACTTCGATAAAGTTGAGAACTTTGATGGTATCTCGAAGCAGGCTCTACAAACTCTTTATAGGATCAATGTGGGCGGTCCCAAAGTTACTGCTTTCAATGATACATTTTGGAGGAACTGGGTTCCTGACTCCGGATACTTGGTGTTGAATTCCGCTTCCAAGGATGTGATTTTTAGCGGAAAGATTATGTACCAGAAGTTTGGGGCGAGTCGAGAGGTCGCGCCCGATAATGTTTACAACAGCGCCAGGACCAGCCGCTCGAACATGACATGGAACTTTGCTGTTGATCCTGGATACAAGTACCTGATTCGGATGCATTTCTGTGATATTGCTAGTTTAGCTCTCAATGAGCTATACTTTGATATCTATATTAATGGATATTCTGCTTACCAAAATTTTGACATCTCTGATGCTACCGGACAAGTTCTGGCATCGCCTCACTATGAGGATTTCGTCATCGATGTGGGTAGCTTGGGCAATTTGAATGTTGTAGTTGGCCCTTCGAAGCTTACTGATCCTTCGAAGATTGGTGGGCTGTTGAACGGGTTGGAAATTATGAAGATGAATAACACCTTTGGCAGTCTTGATGGTGAATCTTCATTGGTTTTTGCTTTGGAGAATCAGAGAGCAGGAAGCTTTGCCGGGATTGTTCGCTCAATGGCTTGTTGGTTTGGTTTCATGAGCTTATCAATTGTTGTGCTCATGTTGGCATTGAGGTGGAGGGCAGAGAGGAGGGAGCCTTTGGCATGGTCACGGTTGCCTGTGGATGTTTTGGAGAGTGAATTGGTTAAAAGAAGTCCCCTAGTACCAGGTAAGTTTGTCTACTTTTGATTGAGTAGCTAAGGCCTTTGAATTGTTACTGTCAGATAGTAGTATGTTGTTGTGTAATGACTCTTGTTCCACTAAATGGCTTGTATGTACGACCTTAAGTTTTCGTATCTCTTCAAAATTTTGAGATAGTATGTTGTTGTGTAATGACTCTTATTCCACTAAATGGCTTGTATCTATGACTCTTATTCCACTAAATGGCTTGTATGTACGACCTTAAGTTCTCGTATCTCTTCAAAATTTTGAGAAGATTATATCCCTCGTCTTCGAATGATCTAGTGCGAAATTTTCTTGCTACTATTGTCCAAATGCGGTTTTATTTCAAAATTATGATGCTGTTGAAATTAAAATTTACACGTCAATTATGTTTGTCCGTAAAGGTGGCCACCCTGTCTCGATTATGAAATTGTATGTAGATCATTGTTTCTTAATAAGATGGAAAAACCTCCGACCCTCTACCTATTTAAGCATCTTCAGTTAAAATGTGGAATCTGATAACCTACACTACCGCAAGAACTCTTTGCTCTGCTTCCCACTGACATTTTTAAAGATGATCATAGATTGAAAGGATTAGTTAACTGTTCGATGGATCATATACTCGACAAACTACTAAGGAGTATTTTGATAGAAGTAGTAGCTTTGAGCTACTCTTTAGGCAATGTTCTACTTAAGGAAGTTGTGTGATTACTTAGGTGTACATACCCTAGGGTTGCTTTGAAGCATTCACATTGGTAAAGCTGTAGACTAAACATCAGGTTATAATGTTTAGGGGAATTATAAGCAAGCAAATAAGGTTTAGGGGTATTATATAGAAATGCTTTTCATCATTTCAAGATAGTAAGGGATCATGTACATTGAATATTTGATAATAATTAGTCTAGAGAAAATTTTATCAGATATACAATACTTTTGACTGCTGCCTTTGGCACTCTCCATCTCAACACCTTCATTACCATCGTAGTAGTGATCACTCTCATGAGACTTGTTGTCCGTGTCATTGTGATGGATACCAAAATTTCAAACTCCTTAGTAGATTTTTGTGCTTATGTTTATTGCAATATCGTTAAGATACTTTCCTCTCTATAATTAGAGGCTAAATCAGTATAATAAATTGGGGGTCAATGATAAAGTGCTCTAAAAGTCCCAGCCTTGGTCTGCACAAAAGCCCGGACATATCAAGACTACATTATGCTCACAGAAAACTCAAAATTGTACCTATCATTGATTGGCTAACAAAGATTTGATGGAGCATCAGAACCAGTTTCATACCAAAAGTCATGATTTCTTCCATACCATAAAAACTGTTGTGTGTCAAAGTTCTAATAATGGTTGTATGTTCGCTCATTTGCACATAGCCTTGATCATCATCATCTTCTTCTTCTTCTTCTTCTTCTTCTTCTTCTTTCTCTTCTTCTTCTTCTGTGTGTGCACGTGCGTACGCGTGTGTGTGTTGTGTTTGTGTGTGCGTGTAAGGCAAATATCTCCAAGTTGCATTAGAAAGTCTCTGATATTCTGTACATGCGGCTGCCAATACAAAAGAGGTTCATTACGATGCATCCGAAGTAGAAGTCCAATTACTGATATATGCACAGAACTGTTTCCCTAGCAATTTATGGGTTGAGAGTAATTGGATTTGGGTGTATATTGTTGATTTTTTCGTCACATGACATGAACCTTAGGCCCCGTTTGGCAAAGGGTTAAAGAGAAGGATTAATGTACTTAGCCCATTTGATAATCCGAATGACTAAATTATTAACTCGTTAAATAAGTTTTATTTTAGTCCTTATGATCAGTTTTAGTGTTTGGGAATAACAATGATTTTGACTATAAATAAGTTTTATTTTAGTCCTTATGATCAGTTTTAGTGTTTGGGAATAACAATGATTTTGACTATTTTCTTTATAATTAGAAGGGTTAACTCTTATTCCATCTAAATAGGAGTATTAGTAAACCCCTCATTTTGAGGGGTTAACTCATTTTAACCCCTCTAGAGGCGTTAACTTAACCCTTCTATATTTTTTTATGTTTGGCAAGTTATGGAGGGTTAACTCACTTTAATCCTTATATAGATTTGTTGTGTTTGGCAGTTAAGAAGGGGTTAAGTCTCCTTAACCCCTCACTTAAACCTTTGCCAAACGGTACCTTAGAGTGTAGGCGATAAAACTTTATATTTTAAAACAAAAATATGCATTAAAAATAATTCTTATGGGAACTTTGAATATTGATGAACGAATAATTGGGGAAGTATAAAGTATGAGTCTATTTAAATTGATAGAAAAAGATTTGACAGGTATAATGGTTTGAACAAAGTCCTTGGAGGAATAATGTTGAGGCTTATTCCGGCTAAATTCCATTTGCATAATGATAACTGGACTTGCCTTGATAGTAAAAGCAGTTTTTTCTTATCATAACGATGTGCCCTTGCAGCCTCTCTTGATCTCCAGAAAGACAGGAACACTTTCATTCCTATAGTTTTTTCTTTTTTTTTTTCTTTTTTCTTTGGTGTGACTAGTGAAACTTGACGTGGTTGATAAAATTTGGTAAATTGCAGAGGTGCTGGTAGTGTTGAACATTAGGTAGAGGCTTACGTTGGTCTATCTTAAATTTTAGTGAACACTGGTAAGGTAAGGGATTTTCTAATTTAGTGTAGTGTAGAGTTTATTACATTGAACTCAATAGTAAAGGCAAATATTCTAGTACCAAACTTTAGTAGAATAAGGATGTCTATCCTTCAAGAGTAACAGGTTGATTTTCCGATACAATGAGTGGATAAACTAGCTCAAGTATCATTTATTGATACCCCAAGAGTTGGTCTCACATCGGATATTGATTGAGTAATTGAATGATTTAAATGATGGGTCTCGAGAGCTAAGTGTAACCTTGACCAGTGAATTTTGGACTTCAAGAGTAACAGGTTGATTTTCCGATACAATGAGTGGATAAACTAGCTCAAGTATCTTTTATTGATACCCCAAGAGTTGGTCTCACATCGGATATTGATTGAGTAATTGAATGATTTAAATGATGGGTCTTGAGAGCTAAGTGTAACCTTGACTAGTGAATTTTGGAAGTGGATTGAGCCAAATTATGTTGCACTCAGTTGGTCCTAGGGCTTACATTGCACTAACAGGCCCGGAGGCGTGCCAATTTACATATATCATCTTCCCAATAAAGTCATGGATATTAACTTTATAATGGAGTTCTAGTGATTGGTACTAAACGAAGTTAACAAACAAGATTCAAAGTTGACCCTTTTGCATGAAAGCGTAAAATTATGTTACAATACATAGAGGTTGATAGATATTTATCAAACATGCTGAAAAGTAAAATACCGTATACCTTTCTTCAGTTGATATATTGAGCCCTGCATTCTCATATTTTTACTATTGAAATGAATGGAAATAGAATTTATATTATTTTTATGTGATGGCACTCAAAAATTGTGGCAAACCATGCTATTGCATATCTATTTTCTGAAGCAGGAAAAAAAAGGTGGAGGTTAAAATACACGGTTGCTGACCATAATTTCATTCATTCTTCTTCTTCTGTGTCTTGTCCTTTTTTGTGGGGGTTTTAAACTTCAAAACTGATTAAATGTTGATAGGACTTGGGAGATGCTTATTTCTCCAACGATGATGTAGTTTTTGTAAAGTAATAGCACATTCGAGATTATAGTACTTCATGTTAACATGGGGGTGAAAAGTATTTTTTGGTTAAACTGCACGTTTTACCTTCTCTCTTTCCTTTTAGGCGAAGTTTTAAACATAGGGGTTGTGCAACATGTGTATATAATTTCCTGGACTTTTTCTTAATTATGGTTCTGCCTGAAGTAAATTTCTTTCTTTCATTTTTGCTCTTTATTTTGTTGCTTGTTGCCTTCTTTGACTTTAGATTGATTCATGAATTAACTATCACTGGAGCATAATAATATGGATATCAATATCATGATAACATGAATGTACTGACACTATTCAGTTAGTTGTTGAGCTTACTCGCGTCAAACCACCCAAATGAAACAAAGAAAAGAGAAACAAAAAACATCACTTTGGGCATAGAATTGGATTTTGAGATAAAGTTGTCTGAATCATATTATTGCTTTGTTGGTAACATATCCAAATCCCACCCACAAAACCAAAACAAATGCAAGTGTATTTAGGATGCTACTCCTTGTTAGACAATCAAGTGAGGTATAATCACAACTATTATTTTAATATTCTTTTCATTGCAAACTTATGTATGAATACAAATTACGCATGTCTTCTAAAATTCCATGCTCTTCTTCACTGACAACACTAAAAAATAAGCTCGCTCCAAGGACATATTCATGTATTGATCGTGTGCTTCTTTGTGCGTCTAGAGCATGTCCATGTATTGATCGCGTGCTTCTTTTTTTTCATCTCTAGATGCATCTCTACCTTCAAATCATGTAAGAAAATGGTGTGAGGTCAACTAATGCGTAACTAATAGTCCTTACGAATTAAGTTCTTGCACAATAGTAAGGCTGAATTTGGATTATGGGAGCTGACAACCTTTTATTCAAAGAAATAGAGAAGAAATATTAAAATAAATTATCTTGATGGACAAATTTGGGAAGCTCAACCACATGATTCATGATTCGGAAAAAAAAAAAGCCAACACATTTGAGTATGTAACATAATTTTTCAAGCTACAAACTAAGAATAACTTTTCTCCCTTCCAAATCGTTCTGTGTAAATATAAGATTGATAAATTAGGAGGTCTTGGTATCATTATGCCATGATATATCGGAATGTAATCACAGCTAATTAAACATTTGCAATATAAATTGGAAATAATAGGTATGACGCGGTAACTCATTTTGCTAAACAAGCAACTGAGAGATAACCATGTGGTGATGTTCATCTTGCTTGCCACCTCATAACTATCATTTCCATATAAATTTTATATATAATAAGTCTTTGCAAAGAACTTCAATTATCTCTAATTGATTTCTTTAATTATCTCTGATTGATTTCTTTGATCTTCCTCCGTTTTATCTCGATCTGAATAGTAATCAAATGAATTGCTATCCGTGCAATATAAGGGTTCGATATTCTGAAGTTTGCATATTGCGCTAACACTAAGAGCATCTCCAACAGCTTCCCCAAAATTTTCTCCAAAATGGAGAAACAAAAGTCATATTCTCCAAATTATTTTTGCTCCAACTCCAACAGCTTCCCCATTTTGAAAAATCGCATTTATTACAATAAT